TAGGGAAAGGGGCGTGGCCATCAAAAAGAGCACAGGTCCCTAGAAACGGCTCTCTGGGAACCGTTTGCCTAGCAACGGGAGTACCCTCAAGAGAAGGCCTCATCCAAACATTGTCCTTCCTATGACGTCACAGATGACTCCAGGTGACCCTGGAGTCTCCCGAAGACTCCCAACATACACCCTCCGGTGTTTCCCACTTACATCTTAAAGTCCCCGACTGGCCACAGCATCTCCAACCATTCCTCCCCACCCTTGATGATCCCGCAAATCCCACTGATCTCCATTGCCTCCATAAAACTCCAAGGACTTCATCTAACCCACTACTGATTAATACTAACACCAAACATCTCCACATTTCCCACCAACCTCCTATGTATCTCCATAACTCCACAATCTCCAGCAATCTCACTCGGTCCTCCGACACCCACCAAAATTTTATTGATCCCTGCAATGTCCCCAGTGTCCCAATAATCCACTAGTAACCCAAAATCTCTTCCTGATCCCATCAGCCCCCTGATAGCCAGTGCCCCTCACTTCTTCTGACACCACCCTGCCCCCATCACAGATCTTCCTAGACCCATTTATTCAATCGCCTCCCAGATTTCTCACAGGAATGTCCCAGAAGCATCTCACACTCAACAAGTCCCGCAATGAAATTGACATCTTGGGCTTCCCTGGTGGCGCAGTGGTTGAGAGTCCGCCTGCCGATGCAGGAGACACGGGCTCGTGCTCCGGTCCGGGAAGATCCCACATGCCGTGGAGCGGCTGGGCCCGTGAGCCATGGCCACAGAGCCTGCGCGTCCGGAGCCTGTGCTCCGCAGCGGGAGAGGCCACAACAGTGAGAGGCCCGCGTACCGCAAAAAAAAAAAAAAAAATTGACATCTTACTCCAAATCCTGCTTCTCTCCTGTGTCATTTTAGGGCTGGCACTGATATCCCCTCCAGTCACCAGGCCGCAGAACTCAGTGTCTCCCTAGACTTCTGCCATTTCCCTTCACTCCCTGATTCCAGTCCCCAAGTCTTTTGCATTCTGTCACCTGAATTCCTCTGTTCCAGTCCATTCCTCTGTGCAGCCCTGGTCTAAACTCCTCCTCTCCTGCTTGGGTCCTCCCTGTATGAGCTTTGTCTCTGCTCTCCCAGACTCCTGTCTCACCCCTCTATCTGCTCTCCACTTGGCATCTAGAGAGGTCTTTCTAAAGCATGATAATGATCAGGACCCTGCCCTGTTCAAAGCCCATCTGTGGCCTCCCTAGGGTTCTCAGGACAAAGTTCAGCCCTGGGTAATCTGTTCCTGCCAACCTCTCTTTCCAGCCTCATTTCTCACCACTGACTCCTCACACCATGTCCCAAAAATGAGGTTTGAGAATCTACCCCAACACAACGCACTCTCTCTTGCCCTTGGGTCTTCGAATGCCCTGTTCCCTCTGCTTGGAATGGCCTACCACTCTGTTTTTGACCATTTATGAGCCAGCTCAGGAGCTCTGTCAGTCCTCTGGGCTCCCCTATCTGGGTTGTCATTGCCTAGGGAATGTGTCTGTCTCTCCTGTAGAGTGTGAGCCCCTGGAAAGCAGATCTGGGGCCACTGGGTCGACGCTGTGTTCCCAGCACAGGGCTGGGTTGACCCGGGGCACTTCAAGAGTTGTGTGATGGCCCGATGAATGAATAAATGAACAGATGGGAGAGACTATGCCGGGCAATGTCTGTGTTCCTAGCAAAGTGCCACAGTCCTGACTTGGAGGCCATGTCAACAAATGTGGTGAACAAATGAATGAGTGACTCGGCTGGAATGCCCTGAGGAAATTTTATTTAGCGCAGCTGCCTTCCTCTTCTACCCCTGCACTCTAGGGGCAGAAAGCAAACCAACCGTGAAAAAAAAACCAAGCTACAACTGTGTATAAGGGAAAACCTGCTATCTACCTGCTTGAGGAAGGGGGCTATGGGGCCTCAGTCATCCTGGCCCTCATCCTCCTCTTCCGCCTCTTCTGCCTCTTCCTCTTGCTCCGCAGCTGCCAGGGCCTGCTCCTCCTCCACCGTGGGGTCGCTCATCTCCACGATCTCCGGGCCGCTGGGGTACTCTTGCTGAACAGGGGCTGGCAGGGACGGGTTGAAATTCTCAGGACTGTACTTGTGGCCCCAGCCGATGTAGATGTTCTCAAACTTCCTGGAGGGGTAGAGAGATGCTGGGAAATCCTCCCTCAAAGACCCCAGCCTGGACTTTTGTTAAAGGTGGGACCCAGCCTAGGCGTGGCATGCCTGCAAAGTTATGTGTGGTAGAGTGGAATGTGCCCAACAGGTTTCTCTGTTCACTGGTTCTTTCAGTATTCACTTAGCACTTAACTAAGTGCCAGGTCTTGTCTAGAGCCGCACTAACAGCACATGTAGCTGTTGGGCACCTGAAATGTGGTGAGACTGAAGAACTGAATTTCTAATTTTATTTAATTTTCAAATTTCACTTGTGGATTCTTCTTTGACCCATTGATTATTTAGGACTCTGTGGTTTAATTTCTACATACCTGTGAATTTCCCACATTTCCTTCTTTTACTGATTTCTAATTTCATTCCAGTGTGGTAAAAGAAGAAATTTTATATGATCAATCCTTTTAAATTTATTGAGACTTGTTTTATGGCTTAGCATTTGGTCTATCCTGGAGAATGTTCTGTACACACTTGAAAAGAATGTGTGTTCTACTGTTGTTGGAGAGGATTTTATTTAATTTTAATTAATTTTAATTAAATTTAAACAATAAAACTGATGTTTCATTTATTGGAAGACATCTAAGTATGTCTGGGACAACCTGGGTACACGAATCTCCTTTTTCAACTGTAAGTGTTGTGAAATCTGAATACAGGTCAAGTATTCCTTTTTTTTTTTTTCAGGTCAAGTATTTCTGATGAAAATTTAGTACCCGAATTGAGATGTACTGTGAGTGTAAACTTCACCCCAGATTCTGAAGATTTAGTATGAAAAAAAGAGTGTAAACTAGCTCGTTAATAATTTTTACATTATTGATTTCATGTTGTAATGAGAATGTTTAGGATATTTGGGGTTAAATACATTATTAAAATGAATTTTGCCTGTTTATTTTTATTTCTTGAATGTGGCTACAAGAAAATTTAAAATGACATATGTGGCTCATATTTTGTTTATATTGACCAGCACTGGTCTAGATATGGGAACCTAGCAGTGAACAAATTAGACAAGAATCCCTGCTGTGGTGCCTACATTCTAGAGAGAGGAGACTGACAATAAACAAGAGCATAATTGGTTGCATCCCGGGCCCACCAATTCACCTCTCCCCAGAATTTTAATGGGAGAAGGAAAGAGGAGTAGATGGGGGGAAAGGGAGCGACTAAGAGACAGGGAGAGAGGCAGAGAGTTTGCCACGGGGAGCGGTTTGGATTTGACCTTATTTTCATAGCCTTGCTGTTCCCTCGAGAATCATTTTCCTCCGGGTCTTCCTCGGAGCCTTCAAATACACTGCTTCCTTGGAAGCCCCTGACCTCTGCCAGCCCTGGTTTCTGGGGTCCAGGAACCAGCAGCCTCACCCAGGAGGTTGTGCTTGCTAAGAAGGCAGAGTCTTGTGCTCCAACCCAGACCCAGGCAACCAGAACCTGAGCTTTAACCAGACCCCCTGGTGAGTCCTACCCATTCACAGTTTGGGAAGCTCTGGTCTAGAATGTCCTTCTGCCTGCTTTTCCCCTAGTTACTTCTTTTTTTCCCCCAAAGATTTCCGATCAAGGCTGCTTTTCTCAGCCTTGAATCTTTCCTTGATCCCTGCAAGACATGACAGGTACGAGCTGTCATTGGTCCCTCCACTCTCCCTAGTGGTACTTCTCGTAGTTTGTAACAGGATATTTCATGGGGGTAAGGGAGGGTGAGGCTCGATGTACATCTAACACCTATGCTTCCTCTGCCTGCTCCCAGAGTAGGATCCATATCTGCTTTTTCAACAAAGTACTTGGGGCCCAGCATACAGCTGGCAAACGGTGACATTTGAGAGTCTTTTATAAAGAAGAAAAGTGGCGAGATGGATGCATGGTTGGGTGGTGGATGGGTGGTTGGGTAAGTGGGGGTTGGAGGATGGCTGGGTGAGTGGAGCTCCAAGTTTGGATCCTTTGCTTTCAGAGGGATGCTGGCAAGTTAGGGTGTGGCCAGAAGAAGGGCTCTGGCAAAAGCAAGCATACCTCTTCCATGCTTCTGGAGGCGAAAAAGAAATTGTCAAGAATGTGGTTAAATTATCAAGATGATGTAAAATCCCACCTTGACTGTGAAGCATAGTATCAGAATACCGTGCAGGCTGTTCACTGATACGGAGAAGGAAAAGCTATGAAAAACCGTCATGCCATCTGCTGGACAGAGCCGGTAAGTGCATGCCCTGTGGCTGCAGGCTACGCTCTCTATTGGCTGAGCAGAAAAGCTGGGATGGTGCCTGGTGAGAGGCTGAGGGACTTGTCTCGAGTGTGTAGCCGCGGTGCGAGGATGTGGGAGTGACTTCCACCTGCCAATCTTTTGGGAACAGCTGGTGGGGGATCCTGGTGGGCAAGATTTGTGCCCTTAGAGAAAAGATCCTTCAGCTTGGAAGAACCGTGGAGGAGGCCAAGGGAAGGAGTTAGCTTCCCCAGAGATGAGACTCTGCCCATCAAGGCCACCCCAAAGGGGACATCTGAGTCCTGTCTGGCTCCATGCCTCAGACAGCAGGAAAGCCTGGGCCAAGGGGCCAAGGTATCCACGTCTGAATACTGCACAGGCAGTGTGATCCCTGAGTTAGCTCCTTCCCCTTCCCGACCTTCCATTGTTTCATCCCAGGGGCTCACACATTTGGTATGGGATTTCTCATTTTAGCCCTAGTGGGACCCCTGGGAGCTGAGTGAGGAGGTTAGCCCCTGGGGGCTTCCTGAAGGGAGCTGTCCCAATCTCTGCCCACCCTGGTGAGTTGCCCCACCCGGCCTGGCTCTGATGAAGTTGTAGTGGCGCCCTCTACCGCGAGGCACTAGGAGAAGACCTACTTGGCACTGGCGTAGGCATAGGCCCCTGGCCAGAGATTGGAGCGCACGACAGCCACGGAGTACTGCGGGCTGAGGCTGCAGGACAGGCGGGCGGTCCAGGGTGACATGTGCATGATTTCTGTGGGGGAGCAGAGAGCACCAGGGAGGTCAGAGGCTAGGCTGCAGCTCCCCCTGCCCTGCACAGCCCCCTGGAGGGAAGGTAGAGAGGAGGAAGAGAGGGAGCAAAGAGGGAGGACAAGGAAGGGCCTGTGGGGCTAACAGCATTGGCTTCAGTGTTTGAACCCTGGCTCTGACCACTCTCTCACTGTGTGGCCCTAGGAAGCCACTACTCCTGTCTGAGCCTCAGTGACCGCACCCGGGAAAGGAGGCACTTATCTCACCTCCTTTGTAGGGTGGCAGTGAGCCCTGAGTCCCCGACAGGGGAGCTACTGTGATTCTCCTTCGAGGTTGGCCATCAGTTTGGACTAGGGATCAGAGGACAGGGCACAGGCTCCAGGCTCATGGAAATCGGGGTCCACATCCAGACTCTGTTCGCTCACCCACTCTCAGCCTCTCCTTTCTTCCTTCAGATGCCTGAGATCCCCACCTCAGGAAATTCTTGTCCAGTTTTCCAAAATCCAGCTCAAGTTCTGCCTCCTCTGGGGAGGCCTCCCTAGCTATCTGCCCCTCCCCAAACCCATATGGGACTCGAAAGACCATATCTCACCATCTGGACCATTGCCACGTGCCAGACAAGGTTCACAAGATGGACACATTCCTATAACTCCATGGGATGCCCATTTTATAGATCAGAACACAACCAAAGCTCACAGAGGTGCCCCCAGCCACCAGTCTCGCTGCCCTTCCCTTTCTCCCAGTCTCCACCAGAGCTGTGTGTGAAGTGAGGGCTGTTACCTGCATCTTCTGAGAGTGGCGTCAGCAGCGGGGGCCCGACCTCCTGCCCCGCCTCGTCTATCCCCTCATCTGCCTTCTCTTCCTCCTCCCCCAGCTCCTCCTCCTCCGTCTTCTGCAAAGGGTTCACCCAAGTGCAGCGGCCCTGGAGGTGGGGAGGAGGTCAGGTGGTACCCCCAGGGCACAGAGTCTGGCCTGTACTCTGGGAGGAGGTGAAGGACCAGGCAAGGATACTGGGGACGGGTCCTGTTCTCAGGGACCCAGAAGTGGGTAGAAGGACAAGGTTAGTCACACAGGTAGGAGGTGAGGGGAGAATGGGCTGAGAGCTGCAGCAGTGAGATGGGGAATCCTGCCTCTCTCAGGTTCTGTGGCCTCGATTTGTGCATCCATTCATCCGTTCATTTACTGTATATTTAAGGAGCACCTACCATATACAGGCAGTGCTCTCAGTGCTGGATATGTGTCCTTGAGAAAAGAGACCCGCCCCCCCATGTCTGCCCTTGTGGAGTTGACATTTGGCAGCGCAAATGAGCATCTGCGAAATGGGGGTGTCATGGGTGCCTCTCTCATTGGATTGTTGCTGGGTTGCCGGAGGTACTGAAGAGCAATAAATGTTGAATGAATGAGTGAACCTAAGTGCAGAGCATGTAGCAGACTTCAGTTTCAGCAACTATGAAATGCGAGATTGTACCAATCTCAGAAGCAGTTATTTGGATTCAATAAAACATTGTGGAGTCGATCAATGTTTATTGAATAAATGAATGAATAAAAAGCTCCTAGCACACAGCAGGTGCTGCCTTGAGTGAATAAATAAATGTATGTAAAGTTCAGACACACTAGGCATTCAATAAATGCAGGTCCACCATCTCTTATCCACAATTCCGAAATCTGAAAAGCTTTGAAAACCAAATGTTTTTTCATAAGTCATTTGGCAGAAACCCTGACCTGATCAGAAGCTCTTCGGTTTTGCTGCAGAAATAATGATGCCTTTGAATACAGGCTGCAGCCCCAGCCCCTGCTTGAGATGTTGTGTAATACGTAGTATGTGCACTGTGTCACTTTTTTAGTGTGTGTCACCTTTATTTTTATTTATTTTTTTTAAAGTACTTTTATTTTTGTAAGTACTGTTTTTTTGGCCGCACCAGGAGTCTTGTGGGATCTCAGTTCCCCGACCAGGGATCAAACCCGGGCACCCGCTCTGGAAGCGAAAGCACTGAGTCCTAACCACTGGACCACCGGAGGAATTCCTGTCACCTTTTTAAAATCTGAAAAATTCAGAATTCCAAGGTGCATCTGGCCCCAAAGGTTTCTGACAGGGGACTGTCAACCAGTATCTGTTGAATGGATGAATGAATATTACCGGGCACGATGCCTAGCTGCCGAGCAGGTGCTTTCTGTCTTATTTTGGAGTCACACCCGGTGCTACGACCCCGCGGGGAGGCTGGAGTCCGGCCCTCACCTGTGGCAGGATGTGCTGCGTATGATGCACCCAGTTGGCCATGGAGTCCACCAACTCAAGGACCGGGATGCCCTCAAAGTCGGGGTTCTCCTCGTAAGAGTCGCGCCCGGCACCGCCCTCCTCCTCCTCGTCGCCCTCCTCCTCGCCGAACTGGTAGAAGCCGAGGGGGCTGATGTGTGTGGCGGCCGAGATGCGGGCGATCTGGGCCCGCAGGTAGTTGGCCTCGTTGCCCGGGAAGGGCGGGTAGCTGATGACCGGTGCGTCCAGGAAGCCAGTGAAGAACTTCTTGATCTTGCGGGCCTGCACGATCTGGATCGGCGTGACGTGGGGCAGCCTCACCCACGGCCGGCCCGGCTCGTTGCACACGAAATACAGGTACTTGTTGGCGCCGTTTCGGCTCTCTTCCTTGGGGACGACGGGCGGCGGCTTCCACGTGGGCTTGCGGGTGACGTCGGTGGCCTTCTCCTCGCCCTCGTTGCCCTCGTCGCTCTCCTCGCCGTGCGCCTCCATTACATCGCCGCCCCCCATCATCTCCTCCTCCTCCTCCTCCTCCTCCTCGCCCTCCCGGAATTCCACCTCAGCCACCAGGTAGCTGCGACTGAGCCCCAGGATCTTGCCCCAGAAGCGGCAGGTGTGGATGGGCTGCTGCCCCACTAGCTGCTTCAGGGCCATGAAGATGCGGAAGCTCTCGTCTGAGCTCAGGCCCACGCCGGCCTGTTCGAGGTAGAAGGCCTTCTCCATGATGTTGGGCACGGCCGTCCCAGCCTGCAGAGGGCGGGGCGGAAGGCAGAGGGAACCAGGCTGAAGCCCTGCTCCCCAGCCTGACTTTTCTAGAGTCTACAGAGTGAAACGACTCTGTAACCCAGTTGCTCATGCCACCGTTTCTGGCCACTGAGATGTAGGGGTAAGTGTGCCAAGGAACGATGATGCCTAAATTGTACAGTTGATGTAAAAGATTTGGGGACAAGCATCCTGAGGTTTCTCCTAAAGGTATACACTGCATTCCCATTTTCTTACAAGCTCCATTTGTGAACAACAGTGTTAAAAGGAACAATTATTGCATCCTCTTCCTATGCCTGCCAGACTGCTTCGCTGTTCACAAATGCCTGAAGTTCCTGTCCACAGGAGGATTAGACGTTCCCACCCCCACCCCACTGCATTCAGGAGTGGCCATGTCACTTGTTCTGACCACTTGAAATGGCAGTGAAAGGGACACAGGTCATACCCAGGCAGGAGCTGTGAGAAACAATGTGGGTTTTGCTCTGCCTTCTTTTTCCTGCTCTGCAACTGTGGAAGCCTGTGTTACAGTGGCACTTCCATCACCCTCCAGCTCAAGTGTCTGATAAGCCAAGCCCCCTTGCCAAGCCTGGATGGGCAGGTAGTGTGAGTGAGAAATAAACTGTGTGGTGTTAAGTCACTGAGATTGTTTGGCTGTTTGTTTGTTTTTAAATGTTTATTTATTTTATTTTATTTTTTGGCTGCATTGGGTCTTCGTTGGCTGCATGCGGGCTTTTCTCTGGTTGCAGCAAGCAGGGGCTACTTTTCCTTGGGGTTCATGGGCTTCTCATTGCGGTGGCTTCTCTTGTTGCGGATCATGGGCTTCAGTAGTTGTGGCTCGCGGGCTCTAGAGCGCAGGCTCAGTAGCTGTGGCACACCGGCTTAGCTGCTTTGCGGGATGTGGGATCTTCCCAGACCAGGGTTCAAACCCATGTCCCCTACATTGGCAGGCAGATTCTTAACAACTGCACCACCAGGGAAGCCCAGGCTGTTATCTCAGCTTGAAACGGCACGCCCTGACTAATACTCTATAGGAGAATTGTTATTTTGAAAGGGATTCTGGCAGTTGCCCTCAATCTTTTTTTTTTCCTTTTTGCCATGCAGTCCAGCTTGTGGGGATCTTAGGTCCCCGACCAGGGATTGAACCCACGGCCCGTGCAGTGGAAGTGTGAAGTCCTAACCACTGGACCGCCAGGGAATTCCCTGCCCTCAATCTTAAACGCAGTGCAAAAGCTTGTCTGCCTAGGGGACTTCCCTGGTGGCACAGTGCATAAGACGCCGTGCTCCCAATGCAGGGGGCCCGGGTTTGATCCCTGGTCAGGGAACTAGATCCCACATGCATGCCACGACCAAGGGTTCACATGCCACAACTAAGGAGCCCACATGCCACAATTAAAGGAGCCGGCGAGCCGCAACTAAGGATTCCTGGAGCTGCAATTAAGGAGCCTGCCTGCCACAGCTAAGACCCCATGCAACCAAATAAATAAATAAAGCTTGTCTGGCTAATTGATATTGACACCAGCAACTCGGGGACAGGGTCAAAACTTAATCCCAAGATTCACTGTGCTGCCAGCAGGGAAGATAAGGGAATGAGCATAGAAAACTCTCTTTGGGGTGTGTGCCTGGCCCATGAGCCAATGGCCATCACCCTCTTTCTGGTAATGTCTTCCACCCACTTGGCAATGGAGTGGCCTCACCAACCGTGATTAAATGATATCACCCTGCATTCTGGCCACTGGTGATTGGAGCAAGTGAGGACAACTGCTCCAAAATGGCAGATCAGGCTCTCCTTCTCTACCTCTGCAACTTGTAACTGGGTGGAGAGAAAGTACATCTGGCGTCTCCCTGCCTAGAAATTACTTCTTTGGGATGGCTGGGTTTAAACCCGGGTTGGTCTGCCTCCAGAGATCATATTCTTAGTCCCTACTCCTTAATTCCTCTATTAACTATGGCCAGAATCTTCCTTCCTCTTTCTTTCTCCCAGTTTCCAGGAAGATCCTATCTATGATCTGGGAGAAAAGGTTTCCTAGTGGCAACTAGATGAATTAAAAAAAAAAAAATTCAGTAACTGTGGGGCAGCTGTATGCTGCCGTGTGAGGAGGTAGGGGAGAGAGAGGAGCAGAGGTGAGATATGGGCACTGAGATCCCTGAATACCAGCTTGGCCTGGGGCCCAGCTACATTCCTGCCCTTGGGTTCAACGGCAGATGGCACCATCCTCAACCCCCTTCTCCACTACTTGCCTTCTCCACAGTCACTTTCCCAGAGCCCCTTGCAGTCAAGGGATAGTTATGTGACCCAATCTGGCCAATAAGATGCAAGCAGAGGTTTTCTGAGGTGCTCCTGGGAAACTTTTGCTCCCCTGATTGACTGATGTATTTATTTATTTATTTGGAGGGCCACACTGCATGGCTTGTGGGATCTTAGTTCCCCAAGCAGGGATTGAACCTGTACCTTCAGCAGTGAAAGGGCAGAGTCCTAACCACTGGACCACCAGGGAATTCCCTTGCTCCCCTTGTTTAAAAAAATAAAGGGGGAGGGAATTCCCTAGTAGTCCAGTGGTTAGGACTCAGCGCTTCCACTGCTGTGGCCTGGGTTCAATCCCTGATTGGGGAACTAATATCCCACAATCCCGCAAGCCACATGGTTCAGCCAAAAAAAAGAAAGAAAGAAAAGAAAGAAAGAAAGAAAGGAAGGAAGGAAGGAAGGAAGGAAGGGAGAGAGAGAATTTATTTTTCTTATGTTTTGGTCATGCACGCGGCATGTGGGATCTTAGTTCCCTGACCAGGGATCTAACCTGAGCCCCCTGCAGTGGAAATGGAGTTTTAACCACTGAACTGCCAAGGAATTCCCCAGAAATAGGATTTATAACCAGGCTTCTATGATGCTGAAAACGGTTTTCTTGGTTTGGGTGGAGTGGAGGGGAGGGATGAGGGAAGAAAGCCCTCAGTGCCCCTTCACTGGGGAGCCAACTTACCAGCTCTAGACTGCTTGCACCTATTAGGTGTGAGAAAAACTATCTCGTCTAAGCCACTTGTCTTCATTTCTGCGACAACTATTTCCTGTCTTAAAGTGATCTGTGTTGCCAAACAAGTACAAGAATAATACTAAAGTTAGTTTAAAACTATAAATGTGGGCTTCCCTGGTGGCGCAGTGGTTGAGAGTCCGCCTGCCGATGCAGGGGACACGGGTTCGTGCCCCGGTCCAGGAAGATCCCACGTGCCGCGGAGCGGCTGGGCCCGTGAGCCATGGCCGCTGAGCCTGCGCATCTGGAGCCTGTGCTCCACAACGGGAGAGACCACAACAGTGAGAGGCCCGCGTTCCGCAAAAAAAAACCCAAAAAACAAAACTATAAATGTGAGGATAGTCAGGAACTTTTCAAAACAGAGGTGCAGTGATGGGGAGTCTTATGCTACCAAACAGCCAAACCTGCTATGCAGCAGTTGTACACAACAAGCAGGAGAGGCCCAGAGCAGAAAGCCATCTACAGAGCAAGGCACAAAATAGAGACTCCAGAAACAGACTGGAGTCCGTGCCTGTGTAAATAAACGGTAGAGGTGGCATTTTCAAAGCAAGAGAAAGGATGGATTTTTCCATAAATGCTGTTGGGGATCATGGAAGAAACAGAAATTCTTTGCATTTGGAAGAAACAGAAAATGAGAGAAATGAGAGCCCTTCCTCCCCTCAGACAGAAAAACAAATACAAAATGCTGAATCATGGATTTGAGTCTCTTCCTAGAAACATGCACAGGCCACAAACGCCCACAATTTTGCCCTTCTACAGACCTCCTCATATTAAAAACTCCAGCTCAAAAAAACAAAAACAAAAACAAAAAACCCAAAACCAAAACCCAAACCAAAACCAAAAAACCTCCAGCTCCAAGTTCTAAGGGGATGGGACCTCTAGGGACCAAGGGTTCGAAGAGGGCGGAGCCTCCCTCAGGATTGAATTTTAAGGGGGCGGAGCCTCACGGGCTGTAGAATTCTAAGCGGGTGGAGCCTCTAGAGGCACAGCGTTCTAAGGAGGCGGGGACTTGCGTTAGATAGGGGTGCGACCTGGAGGTGTGGGGGAGGAAGGGTGCAGTTCTAAGGGGGTGTGGCCTCCCAAGGAGAGACTGCTGATCTGAAATTTAAAACCATATTCTCAGGTAAGACTGTTCCTCATGTCTAAGACTTGGATTCCGACCTGCGCTCTGCTCACCCAAGGAAGGGCTCATTCCTTGGTCAGATTGTCGTTTCCAGTTCTCTCACTATCCCACCCCACTGTCGCCAGAATCCTAGAATTTCAGAAGCATAAAACGTGAGCACAGACCAACAGCATCAGCAGAGATGGCAGAGGTGATAGCCCGGGCTTTGGAGGACATGGTCCTGCCTTCCTAGTCCTGTCTTTTCTAGTTTCGAGCCCTCTAAGTCCTTCCTCCACAAATAGGAATAATAAATGACACTTGCCTTACAAGGTTGTTTCAGGGAGGAAACGAGCCCATGCTCCTAAAGCTCTTATCCGGGGTTGCGGGGGGAAGGCTAGGAGGTGTCAGAATTATGATAAACAGAGTTCTCAACAAATGTTTCTTAAACGAGTGAAAGAACATTTCAGCCAAATTTTAAGCCGTCGTCCAATGCTGGAAACGGAATCGTGGAATTAAATATTCTGAGGATAGTAGAATGTTCATCAATCATGGGTGGAAGAGTTCTCAGCGGGTCTCAACTTGCAAAAGAGGAAACTGATTCCCGGGGATAGGAGGCAAATTCAGTGTTGAGAGACTCCAGGAGTCAGTGGGTTTCACAGAAAACGTCCACAGAGCAGTTATTTGCAGAAAGGAGTAAGGGATGGTAGGAGAAATCAGCCTCCACCTCCATGTGGCGCTGGAGTCAGCTTTCTACAAAGCAGAGCTGTCCAACCTTTCCTCTGCTTCAAACCCTCCCATGGCGCCCCAGTGGTCTCAGGAGAAAGCCCAAGCCCCTTAGCCTGGCGTTCAAGGACCTCTGTGACCTGGTCCCCGACCCACACTCTGGACTGAAATCGCGTGTGTTTCTGGGTGGTGCTGTGCGCTCCCTCCCCTCCAGGCATTAGCAGGAGCTGTGCCTAAACCCG